TGGAATGAATAGAGTTTCTCTAATGAAAACCACATTCACTGTTAGAATTTTGTTTGTTTGAGAACATTTTCCATTTTGCTTCTTCAATTTGTCTGTCTGCACAGTCAAAAACAATTGAAGATTCGACCCCATTAACTATGAGAAAATCAAAAATTTCAAACAAAATTTTACTGGTGTATGGGCAGCTTAGCTCACAACTTTTTAACATATATTTGATTATTTTGGTCAGGAATAGAAAAAGAAAAGTTTTTTGCCTAGCCAGCAGGTGTCGCTAAAGTCCCCTTGCAATTAGTATAGGCACTTTTCAGTTGAGCTGAAAAAAAGCCCATTGTTTACTTTACATGTTCACTACTATGTGATGTATGAGGATGCCAGCTGACCAGTCTAGGGAGAAGAATCATCTGTCAGGGCTCCATTTCTATTGTGACTTAAAAATAAAGTTGGTGCCAGGTGAGTATGCATAAGTGCATATACATGCACGTTCACAGATTGCAAAGATGCATGTTTGTGTACTGATTGTTCACATAAACAAATCCAAATTTGGATCCTCCAATAAGATCATCCAAGTGCCATGTTATGCCAATAGGTGCCATTTCGTAGAGCTGAATATGTGTATAGTATTCATTGATAGACTAAAAATTGCCCCTATGACACTGAAAATGACCATACGTTAGGGAGAGTAGTTGTTTGTTTATCCATGATGTGAATACCCTCGGTGCAAGCAATCTGCAGAGCACTTCATAAAATTAAGGTTTTGCTGACCATAGAAGCTTATGTACCCAGAGAGAGGTGGGAAGATCTGCATGTAGGGAATCCTATGCCAGCTTTTTAGTAGAACAGGATTTCGAACTTGTCCTACTGGCTGTCCAGTGGGATTTATCCTTCCATAACATCATTTTTGTTATGATTTTACATGATAATTACCAGTAGGCTACCCATAAACATTGCTCGCCACAAATGTGGATATTTTCACACAATCTTTCATATAAAAGATCATTCCATAAATATTAACTCTTATCTCTGATGAACGTTAAAAGAACACACCTGCATATTTAGCTGATGCTTCATGCACAGGAATTGTGCATGTGTATTGTATATGATTGTTAAATTGTCTTAAGATGGATAACCTGACCTGTGAAAGGATCATTTGTCCAACCAAAAACAGTCTGCTCTACAAACACCAACTTCTGGCAACATCCATCTACAAAAAGATCTTTAGTATGAATGCTCTTTAAACTTTTTCTTACACGAACAAACACGTCTCTTTAGACTGCTTTAGTTAGCTGGTTAGCTTAACAGTGCCTTAAGGTTTTTGTGTAAATTCTATCTTAATTACTTATAAAACAGATCTGCTTTAGTGGAATTGCTAAACATTACACAATAAATCATCACCAAACAGAATTACAGAATATTGAAGCTGATGCACTAGCAACAAAATTTCACTTTATTGCTTGTGCAAAGTGCCCAATCAGATTTAGCTCCATTAAAAATGTATTTCCTGCTGATCATTATTGGGTATTTGAAGTAAACAAATCCTAGAGTGAAAATTACTTTTTTGTGAATAACCTGTTTTCACAATTTTATTGAGTACCATATATCAATTGCCCTACTACTTTACAGTAAGATGAAAACAGTACTTTTACAGTGTGTAATATATTCATCTACAAATATACTACTACTGCATATGCTCACATATTTACAAAGATGTATGTAAAGGTTGTAAAAAGGAACAAAAGTAGAGAAGCTTAATGCTGTATTTCAAGCTATGGGTTATGTACTGGATTGCAGAATATATGTTTCAAAATATAGCAGTAAAAATATTTAGCAGCTGACGTTTAAAACAAGAATCCTAATTGAAGAGATGCCTAAAACTAATTAGAATGCATATCACATTAAGGTGTGGCCTTCTTAATATAAGAAAAGCTAATGCAAATAACTCAAATAGATATTCCAAGAATAACATAAAACTAACACATAAACTCATACAGTAATAGAACAACAACAAAACTCTCTGGGCATGAGTGATGTACACAGAAACTATGCCTGAGTTTCTAACAACACTCCGTATACTGTTTCTAATACAGAAAAGGGAGACACACAACAATACAATTTGGCTTCTGGGAAAGCCTGTTTCTTTTTTTGGGACATCTAATCGGATGGCCACATTACGGGCCTCACTCTGAGATTTCAAACAGAAGTTCATTTGCTTCCTATAATCAGCGCCCTTGCCATGGGCTATGTCTATCATCAGCGTACAATATACAAGGCAGAAGTTAGTACCGTCCTCTAGGGAAAGGTCTATGAAGGCCAGATGGGCTCTTTAATCCCAGATCTTTTCCCTTTTTACATTTGCTGCTGTTCAGACATCATTTGCACTGTTTTTAAAATGTCTCTCTCGGTTCCTGGCCATTAGACACAAACATAAAGTACTTTCCCGAAAATCTGTTTTCATTGTAGACTTTGCAGGGGAACAGTTGGCCTTTCTGAATGACAGTCTACAGATCTGTGTTAGAAGAAAGTCATTCAGAGTACAAGCTAGTTTTTGATTACAAAATAGCTTTTAGGCAAACTGGGTATCTATAAAACAATGCATGATCAGATTAATAATACATATCTAAGCAGATAAAACCCAATAAGAAGTAGAAACTTAAAGAAAAAAAATACATAATTAACATTACAACCATATTATGTCTTGGCGTCAATCCCTAAGCATTATATCCACATAAGCAGCTATAGGAATCCCTTAAATTGTGCAGGGACCTCAAAGCAGAGCGAGGATTCAAAGGTCTCCTAAAGCAAACAAAGCAGATCATTTTTCTTGGAGAAGGAAGAAAATATCCATTCTTTCCAGAATATAATTAAGAGTAATGTACAAAGCTGTAATATATTGAGCCTCTTTTCAAAATTAAGGCTCACAAAAAGCATATTTTTTTACAGGTAATAAGATAAATTTTCAAGTGAAATTGTGCTTACAAGTATTCTGTGTGGTTTACATAACATTTACATCACAGGTTTAAACAAAATATGTTTGCACTAAAATAACTAGAATTTTTTTTAACTGCTATAATTTTATTTTAATTTAGTTTACAACTTTAAACAGATGTACATGAGTAAAATAAAGCAGTCATTTTTTTTTTTTTTGCAAGTTTATTGCAGTCATTTTAAATAATGTGTAGCCCGTTGTGAAAAATAGCGACACTGCTGCTTAATTTTAGCAACTAATGTGTAGCTTTGTAACAGAAAATGCTATCAATTCTTATTTAAGTTGCAAATACATTCACAGCTGACACTTAGTGCATATCAGTCATCGTTACTGATACAGTCTAACATTCTTGTATAGTACAGATAGTAAATATCTACTAGACAGTTAAATATATCATAGGATCATCCTACAACCAAAAATAAAAACAAACAAAAAAAACACTAAAAAGTAAAGACCGCAGTAAGCCTATGTATTATTGTTTGAGAAGTCCTGCTTTCAGTATTCATATGCTTTGGACACATACTACAACCGTATCCCTCCAGCAATTTAAATAAAAGGGCACCTTTTGAAAGGGTATCAATTGTTTGCACTTCTATCATCTGTAAAGTACATCAAGCAGAGTGTGTCTGTATCAGATGGTCAGCCCAGCAGCTCTGTGATTGCTCAGCTAACAGTTCAAAGGTAGAGAGGCCTCGCCAGAGCCTGACAAACCCAGGATCAATATGCATTAAGACTGACAACACAGAAGTGCTATTTCTTCTACTCAACAGGACATCAAAAACTGAACGTATAGAGAAAGCAGCAATGCAAACATTAGAAAGACAGGCTATTCCAGTAAAAAAAAACTACTAACAGCAGCTGGCAATATTTCTCATAGCAGAATGTGTTTTACTAATCCCAGCAAGTCCGCCACTAAGACCTGCCAAACGGTGGGCCTCATGGTTGAAACTGACACAACAGCTTTGTGTATTGCCCATAGCAATCAGTAAGACTCTTCTTTTTATGTTCTTAGAGCAAATTAGAAACTGAAAAGCAGGCAAAATAAACAACAGTCCATCTTTCAGATATTATCTAAGAGCAAAAATACCTGCTGGTGAAATATGAAAAGCAAAATCACAACAGGCAACAGAGCACCAAAGATTAACATTAAACAAAGATTTTAAATTATCTAAAAACAGCAAACACATATTTAAATGATCATAAAGAAGAACAATCTCTGTTGCCCAACATTCAGCTGTTGCTGTTAATTATTTGTGCACAAAGAAAGAAGTAGCTGAGCTACCTGGGTCAACACAATACATTCAGACTGCCAAATGTCCCTTATCAGCAAGAATACCCATTATTTTATTAGAATGCTATTGTCCTACACCCTTTCTTCAATCTACAATCACCAAATTATAATTTAAAAAAAACCCAGCAGGGGACATTTATCTCCAGGGGGGCACACATTTCCAAATGTTGCACTATTTCAACATGATCATTTGCGGTTCATGTTCTACTATTTGTGGTTGAAAGTTTGTAAGCGCCACATCACTTTTGCGAATGTCTACAACCAATCTGTGAATGTCTTCCTGTATTTTGAACATTTGCTACAAGTGTTATGAACTAAAATTTTCTTTAACCCGTTGGCTGATAACCCACTAAACCATAACCTTGTCCCTTATTTTCAGCTTGAATGTAGGCAGCTATAGAGGCAACACACACACCAAACATCATCTTTGTGGAGTTTACTAAAGACAAATAGGCAGTTCACTTTGCAGGGAAATTTTAAATTCCCATCAGCTGAAGCTCTGCTGACTTCCATCATTCAATCATTTGCAAACACAAATACTGATTTATTTTTTATTTTCCTTGACTGAGATTCGGTGTTCTTTGCAAAGTGAATTTTCACCACATTTATTAAGCTAAGGGAAAATTTCCTTGCAAAGTGAAAATTCCTTGCAATGTGAACAGACTACCGTTAGTAAGTCAACCCTTTCTTTCTCTAGGTACAGTCATGCTTAAAGCAGCCACTTACCTTGCATTTGGTAACTGTATGGGGCCTGTCCTGGCTGGGGGGCACTAAAGCTTGAACCATAACTCTGAAATCCAACCTGGCCTGGTGACTGTGACTGCGGCAGTCCTCCTTCCGTCTTGATGCCTGCCCACAATGTACCTAAATCAGTTAGTGACATCAGATATACATGTCCAAACTTAGGCAAATTATCCTTTCACAGTTCTGCTAAATTCAGGAAGATAATGAACCAACATATTGCTCGCTATAATTGGATCTACATTTATTAGGCATTGAAGTAAGCAAATATTGTAGAAACAATAACAAATGACCTGTTAGCATTAGAAGGCATGACTTTAAATGGAAATACAAATATTACCAAATGTTCTTAAAGTTTTGAGAGACATTGGCATTTTGGACATTAATATTATGGGGTCTATTCACAAAAGGGTGAAGAGTTTGGAGAAGGTAGGAGAAGGGAACAATCTAGGACAACACAGCTGATCTGGAAAGTGAGCTGAATTAGTGAGTTTTTCCAAATCTGCTATTTTGTCCTAGATTGTTCACTTCTCATGCCTTCTCCAAAGTCTTCACCCTTTAGTGAATAGACCAGTAAGTAGCCACCATTCTCCATTTGCTGATTTATATTGCATAGTTTATAAGTGTCTGTAGAGGCTGCCTTTTTTCTACACTTTAGCTGTATACAAATAACAGTATTGGGTCCTGAGTATCTTACCCTTATTTGCTCCCTTGCCGCCTCCCCACTGCAGGAGTCCACCCTGGGTAAGCTTCAGTTTCAGAGCTTACTCCAATGGATGATGTGATTGTTCAGGTGACAGAATTCAGGCTTAGCCATTGGCCTCTAAGGCCCTAGTAGTGTGACATGGGGGAGATCACTTGTTTCCCCATACCTGAAAGCCATGCTCTGTTAGAACAAAGGAGCAAGGGCTCTCAAAAAGAAGGGGCGGCAGTGAGGGAGCACAAAAAGGGAGGGCTATCAGTAAACACTGTCACTTTGCACTAAATGGGCACAATGACAGTGTGTCTTTATTGACTATTCCCACTGTTTGCATCTACTATATATTTGGTTATGCTTTGGTAGTTTGCTATTTTGTCTTTTCTTCTCCTAACCTTAGTTATCTCTGCATAATTATTAAGCATTACACCATTTACTACTGCATGTGATTCAGCAAATGGAAGCAAAAGTCTTCAGGTCATCGACATTAGGTGAAAACAAAATGTTTCTGACTACATAGTTAATAACACACTTAAAGTAGTTGTAAATCCTAACAGAACATATATCATAAACAACTGTCCATATGTTTTCTTCTGTTCTAATACTGTTTTCACCTCTGTTCCTTTTTTTGCATTTCAGTGCTGCTGATCTCCTCCAGCCTTCTTTGCAGTCACTTCCAGACTACATGCACTCTCTCTAGTGGCATCTCCCTGTCATTGATAATCGCTGGCTTCATGATGGTGACAAAGGCAGAAACAGCCTGTGCGTTAAAAGTTAGCATGATCACTTATAGATTTCTCTGGAAGTGCGATCAGGTCTTCCGAAATGTAAAACTGCTCCATTTGTTTTTCCGTGCCTGGCCGGAGTCAAGGGTAACTGGGTGTGAATGGACTACTGATACGATGCCAGGTGTGAATCTGTTATTTTGAACCTTGCTGGGGCAAAAATATGAATGTCTCACCTTGCCTCCTATCCCAAACTAATCTCTAGTGCCTTTGCCCTCCAAAGCTTAGCAGTGCCCATTTTTGAGGATAACAGTTCAGTCCAAAGAATAAAGAATTTACAAGATGCTGTAAATAGTATGTGAAGCCTTTTCTATTTCAGCTGCTCATTATGAATAGAATGCTTGAACGTCTCAAGACTCCACACCCTATTAAAAGACCATGTATTCTATCAACTACCAGAGCCCATGAGATCTCTGGAAGTTGCAGATGAACAACAGCTGAAAGGCTCTGTGTCCCATAACTACAGTGCACATACATGCCATGCTTTAATTCAGACCTATTATTCCTACAGTAAATGGGATCTATAGTTTATATAGGATTGAGGATGCAAAAAAATTAATGGAAGTATGGAAGGAATAAAACAGAATGAATAAGAGTTTGGTGTAAGACAGGTGGCCTACCGTAAGGAGGAATTCCATAGGACTGTCCTGGTTGGGGGTACGTTGCATAGGCTGTGGCTTGTTGCATTCCTGTGGGAAATGGAGCTTGCCCATACGCTGCCATCGTTTGTGAGGATGGGGTGGGCAGAATATGTGGGTAAGCTCTGCTATAAAAAAAAAAAAGGGCAATACTTCAGTACAAAAAGCTATCAACATTCTCCGTAGTATACCTTATCCACTCAATTAATAGTGATATACTGTATATTATTACAACATTTACGTTACATATCAAATGTTAGATAACTAAATAAATTACACTGTAATGTAACAAATAAAGTGTGAGTGATGATCAGTTCAACTGGTTGAAAATATGCAGGGGTAGCTTTGCTAACGGAGAGAATATTCACTGAGCAAAGTGACACTGAGCAAAGCAATACTCCAGAGCCATGCTGGTAGGTTGACTTCTGTCTAAATCGGTCCAAGCATGTCTCTGTGTATGAATGTGAGGTAGGGACCTTAGATTGTAAGCTTCTTGAGGGCAGGGACTGATGTGAATGTGCAGTATGTAAAGTGTTGCGTAAACTGTTGTTGGTGCTATATAAAGACATGTAATAAATAAATACCCAATCATGTGCAGGGGTATAAAAAAAAGGAATTTGCCTTGCACACGATTGACTGAAGAGAAATACGCTTCACTAAGTTAAGTGAACATTTTCTACCTCGTTAGTAAATCAACTTCATTGAATGACAACATCACAGTACAACACAGTACAACTGCACACTGGAGCAGGAAGAGTAGGCGTATAGAGATCAGAGAAGAAAAATAGGTGTATAGAGCTTGGAGGAGGAAGAACAAGAGTACAAAGAGTGGAGGAGGAAGAAGATGTGTATAGAGACTAGAGAAGGAAGAAGAGGAGTATAGGGACCAGAGCAGGAAGAAGAGGAGTATAGGGACCAGAAAAGGAAGAAGAGGAGTATAGGGACCAGAGAAGGAAGAAGAGGAGTATAGAGAATGGAGGTGCATAGAATCTGGAGGAGGAAGAAAAATGGTATAGCGACTGCAGGAGAAAAGACAGATATATAGAGAAGTGAAGAGAAAAAAAGGGGTAAAGTGATATTTAGATGGGAAAAAGCAGGAGAGAGCTAGACAAACAGGTACAGAGACTGCAGGCACAATTAGAGAGGAGAGGGTGAAAACCTAATGAAGACTTTAATGCCATGGGAGTATATAGAAAGGAGAACACAGGAAAAAAATACAGAGTGAGTAAAGGGAAAGAAGGAGAGGAGGAAAAATGTTGGGAGACACAGCCAAGCTGGAGAAAGAAAGAGAGTTCAGGCTGAGTAAAAGTGGAAACATAATGCCTTCGCTTTCCTAGCACAGCAGTACCTTAGAATCGCTGACAATTAACTGTCAGACGTGCTCAAAACAGAAAATGACAGGTTTATGTGTGTCATGTGTTCATTGCATTAGACTACAAAGACTGGAATCTTACTTGGATGGGTAGATCTGTGGGGAGAACTGGTGTGCTTGTCTGGGGCTGAATCCACTGCTTCCAATAACTCCACATAGAGAGGGGGAAAAGGAGAGGCGACAAATCAAATACTCATCCTGGTAAAGCATGAAACTCTTACTCTTTATAGCTTTTAAGATCCTACACCCTGACTTGAACTAGATATGGTAGACAGATCTTGATTTTAGTATGCTCGTAGACCAGTTCACATAATGAGATAACAAATGCAGATAAAGCATTGGCATGATAATATATAATGGGATGCATTTAGTAAAACTGGAGCAGACAAAATCTGGAGCATCTTCTATATTTTATTTTTAAAGCTTAACTGAACAAAGTGAAGAGAGAATCTGATGGGTTGCCATGGTCAACTGCTATAGATTCGGTCTGGTCCAGTTTTGATACATTTCCCCCAATGTGTTTTGTAACTGCACAAATAATGTAAATTTTACAACATTTTAGGATTACACATTATACCTATTTAAAAGCCAGCACCATACAAAACTGATCATTTTTGTTTGATTTCAGTTGCAGAGTTTCCTATAGCACAGTAGTTTTTGTTTCAACCCCCCCACCAGAGTACCATAACACAGGTTTTATTCTTTAAAGGCTGGACTCCATATTTATTATGGGGGATCTAATGATACGCTTCAGGAATATCGAGTAGGTACCCCTTGTGACTTGGTTATCATGCAACTGTGATTCAACATACCAAAAAGCATGAAAACAGAAATATCAGGAATGGAACCTGTAGCCAGCAGAGAAGCATTTGGTCACAGAAAAGTGCAGTCATTTTATAAAATGATACATAATTCCACAGAGCTTGTCAGTGTACAGACAAATGTTACAATGTAAAGGCCTTCTGGGTGCAGCCATATGAAATATATCTCTTCAGTATCCAGACAGACATAAAGAGTTCTAGCTTTACTGCAGCCTCTATGTAACTTTCTGCTAAAGTTGGGTATGCGCATATCTATTTTACGAAAAAAATAGAACAGAGTCCAGTGGTGTCACAAGGGGGGTTCGGGTCGCACCCAGGTGACACTGTTGGAGGGGTGACACCAAATGACTGACAGTAATTTTGGTGTCATCCCCCTCTGGAAAGTCAGGCACTCAATCAAGAGAAAAAAAAGGGAACCTGACGGCATACCTTATCCCGCCGGGTGACGTTCCCTCCTCTCTCTGCCGGCGTCCATCACTTGTTAATGGATGGTAACAGCGGTTCCGCGTGTGACATCATCACGCGATGACATCACTGCGGAGTGTCACCCGGTACCCGCACCGGGTTTCACCCCGCCTCGGGACGCCTCTGACAGAGTCCTCCATCAAAGCTTACGAGGATTGACAGATTAATCCCCTGCAGTTTCCTTTGTATTCTGACAGTGGCCGCTGGCCACTGTCAGAATACCCGAACTGAGCCTGCAGCTGATAGGCTGCAAGCTGTGTTCAGCTGAGAATATACCAACTGTCTCTTTCGGTCAGCTGTTCAAAGGATTCCGGGCAGAAGGAATGAACTGACCAAAATTTGTAATGTGTATACCCTACTTAAGAGATCACAGTTTCAGAGTGTATCTCCAGCCAAAACTTTTTTCTTTTCACATTTTGGACAGAATAGGGAAAAGTTTAAACTTCTGTTGGGGAGAATTCCCTCTCTTCATGTACTGGAAAATCTGTTATCAAAAAGTAAGAATAGGACAAAGCTAGAACTCCCACCAGCTTTTCCTTTTGTCTGTGCCTTCTTTGTAGATGTTCCTTTAATTCCTGTCCAAATTGACAGCATTGGGAAAATCTCTCCAACAGGAACAACATATAAAAACTTGATAGAGGTGCTAACTGCTCTAATCTATCAAAACCTAAAGAGAGAAAGGTTTGCCTGGAGTTATACTTTAAAAGGTACCAAAAATTTAATTACATGGCAGTGTCTTAATTATTTAATTTATTAATGATTTTTTTCGGCACAGCAGCTTATTATACATTCACATAGCGCAGTGGTTTTATTATTATACAGTGTCTTAATTAGCCTACAACAATGAGTTTCAAATGCGGCACAATCACTGTAGATGTCAATGGCCTTCTCTTCAGACTTCAGAAAAAAAACACACACATGCTATTAACAAGAGCAGACGCGCCTCCAAAAATGATGTTAAATCACTAGGGCTGTAAGAGCCACATACAAAGTTAGCATGTACATTCATCTTCAGACAAAATAATTTGTATTCTATAAACTGATGTTAAATACTGTGATTTTGCTGTGGTATCCATTTGTGTAAAGGCCGGTCAAACATTACAATAATTTCTTTTTAAATACTGAATTTAGTTAGAATGCATTCCACTCTACCTCTTTAACTAGCGTGAGAGTTGAGCTACACCACAAGCTTCAGTATACAGTCTATGGAAGATGTAAAAAAGGACTTCAGTGACTTTGCCGCTTATTTCGAGAAGCATAAGTGACATGACAGGACCCCCTTTAAAACACCCAGAAAGCTTAACAACCATAAGTGCTTTATACCTGCTTGCTTGCCAAATCCACTCCACTTTCAACCCGCTAAAAAGAGAGTCAATAGACTACACTAATATACTACAGTTTAACTTAAGCTCTATATGCGTAATTGTAAGCTGTCGTGATTTAGAGTCAAGGAAAAGTTGCATATGCCCAATCATTTCCTACACAAGATTTCTATACCATGTCTAGAGTCTTCAAGGCGCACAGTACTACTTACAGACAACAAATACAACCTAATAATACATTCTTATAATTAGTCTCGTCCTCATTATCATCATTGTACTCATCATCACTGTCATCAACATCATAATCATCATCAATAATACCACTTTTTTTCATCAAACTATGGACCTTAGTTGCACCCCTATGTTACACCTATGTTACCTCTAGCAACTAATCAAACATTTTCTTGCACAGATATAAATCTCCTTGGTAGTTTCTCAGTCCCTCCCGCAGTACTGATGCAAGATATACAAATGTTACATAACACCATTGGACATAGAGGGGTTGATTTACTAAAGACAAAAAGGCTGTTCACTTTGCAAGGTAATTTTAATTTGAAAACAATACTCAATCACGTGCAAGGAAAATTTAAAAAACTGTATTTATGCTTGCAGGTGATTGGGTGATGGAAGTCATCAGACCTTCTCATTCACTAAGCTAAGGGAAACATTATTCTGCAAAGTGCAAATTCACTTGCAAAGTAAACAGCTGTTTACTTTGCAATGCAATATTCCTTTTAAATCATCAATCTATTGTCTCTAAAACTGTAAGTAACATTCAGCACTGCCATAGCAACAAAATAAATAAAAGCTCTAACTAAGAAGTGAAATACAAGACTACCTCACAATGAATTCAAATCTGCACTGGAGAAAAAATCAATTAAGAAACACATTTTAAACAATTGCTATGTGCCAGCACTAATAGTTTATATTATAAAAAGCCAAATTTCTCAACTCAAGTGACATGGATTTATTAAAGGAAACATAATTCATACAACATATTTTTTCACAATACCATTCAGAGCTAATAAAAGTAACGACATTTAAACAGACGATGAAAAATGCAGGATATGGTGTCATTTGGAGCCCATGATTCAGTTAGACAGAGCGGCATAAACCGTGAAGTAACATTTCTACAGAACAAAATAAATAGCTGTCGTTGTCTGCTACGCACCAGCACAAGAAGAAACATCAGCACTTTGTCATAATGTCTCTCTTACCTGACCCAGAGTAGTTGTCTAAGGATCCTTCAGCAGTTGTTGCAGCAATGTCACTGCCACTCATTGGCTCTGTTTTAACTGAAAACACAGCAAGAGTTACACAAGTGCCATATCCCGACATTGGAAATGAGCAATGCATGCTTGGTGCAAATACACAGAATCCTAGATGCCTTATGCAAGCAGATACCTGCTAACATTGACAGAAGCATAATTCCTCTGTGAAAGATAACCTTCCTAAACAAGTACACATACACAAGCACAGACACACACAGTCAGAAGTGTATCCAAACCCCAAAACAAAAATATTATGTATTGCAGTTTACCAGTCCAGATGTGTTGGCGGAATTAGTTTTCTTGTTTTCACTTGGTAACCATGAGCACAACACACTTTCTGACCTTTCATGGCTACACTAATTTCTCCATTGTATCTATGGGGCAGCCATAGCTGTTATATAGGCTGAACTTCAAACATGTCTGATTTTGATCATCTGCAGTAGTTTACACAGGAAGGATAAGGATGCATGTTTTGTTTTTTTTTGGCTTGCAGGAAAGTTGGCCATACACTATCAAACTTTTTTATGCAGCCTGTGGGCTGAACATAAGAAATATAACAGATTCCTTCATCCACACAAAACAGCGTGGATGGACGAATCTTCCACTGTGGCTATTGTATTCTGACCGCCAGCACCCACCACTGTCAGAGTACACGAGCAGTGACTGCAGCTGATTGGAAATCACTGTTCAAGCAAAACATTTCAACCTGTCTCTTTTGACAAAAGTCGATTTAGCGATCGAGTTTTGATGAGCCAGCAGGGGCTTCCACTGTAAAGAATTTGGCTGGTTCATGTGTATCGGCTGAAATGTAAGATAAAGAGGCATTTCCTGTACTTGCTGAGAAAGTGTTAAGCCTAAAAAATGTAAACTAATGCAGCTACCAGATCTAAGGACTGGTAAGCTACAATATATTTTATTTTTATTTTTGGGTTTAGATATGCTTTTTTTTATGTAGAGCATAACTGCTCCTAGGACTGCAGTCTCTTTTGCCGTGATTCTATGTAGCTTCCCTTACACTGGCCTGTATTTTTACAGGGTTAGAATTAGGGCCATTGAGAAGATAGGGAAATCATAAATCTAAGGGATTAGGGGAGCAGGAGCAGCACGAATAACAACAGCCCTTCAGCTGATTAAATGAGAAATCTTATGTTTTACTGAAGTATATCTTACATTCAAAAATTATTAATATTATTCCTAACTAAAAGAAGAAGCCACTCTGATGTTTATAGATGTATACCAATACAGTGAAAGAGGAAAACATTAGACTAATAATTATAAGGTAACACCTTTAATGTTACATAAATAAATAATGATAGTGCTCATTTAAATGACACCTGAATTACATATACTTCTCTTTCACTTGTCATAACTCCTACCAAAGTTAAACATCTGAGATTAGATGTGTTTTTTCCACAACTATAAATCTGTACCGACAACTAGGGATGGTCTCGATGTTCGAGTCGAGCAACACACGAACTATCAGTGCCTTGTCAAGCCCTGATTGGGTAAAACAATGCACTTGACCACAGGTCAGGTGCAAGACTTTACCCAAGCACAGCACAGTGCAATGTGAGAGCCATGATTGGGCAAAGTAATGATGACTTTGCCCAATCATGGCTCACACAGCTAAGTCCTGTCAGGTGGCGGCAAAACATAAACAATTGAGAGAGATAGAGAGAGAGAGAGAGAGAGAGAGAGAGAGAGAGAGAGAGAAAGAAAAAGAAAAGAGAACATTGCTTAGTACCATGATAATGACACCCAAATTGGATGAAGGCAGAATGGGGTCCTAAGCAAGGTGCAAGCTTTGGTCCTTTAATCCTTTAAATTGGTATATACAATGTTTGCAAAAGACAGCAAATCAGCTAATTTGCATTGTCTGTTTAGGCAAAGCCCGCCCCATCAGACATCAACTGCTTATAAGTGCATCCTCCCTTATGAAGTAATAAGCGAATTCACAGTCATGACCAACTGGGCTGTCCTACTGGTTTACTGCAGGAGCAGGAAGTTTGTAATTGGCCTGCCTATGTTGCCTCTGATGGCACACCATGTTGTCTAGGATCATGAACTAAAGTGGGAAGATCTCATCAGTGAGTCCCTCAAGAAACCTAAGACGCCATTGGTTGACTTAGCCTACCAGACACCACCTATAAATACAGTATACATGTTAGGTGCTGCAACCCTGATTTATGGCAGAAGTTGTAATGAAGTAAATAGGAAAGATGATGCAGCACATTACGCAATAACAGCCACCAAACAGATTTTAGATTGCTGATTTCTGATGACCACTACATAGAACACTGCTATTTGCACATCATCTACTACTCATCATCATAACTACTCCGCGGTTATAAACTTTATCTTTTTTTCTGTACACAGTTAAAAAAAATGGTTTTATGATTGCTTTTGAAAAATCAATCAAATTATTTCCTGTTAGGCATCATAGATTCATAGGTACAAGTAAATTGACTGAGCCATTCGTATTACTTGTATTTCCGTGATTTCAGATCTTACAAAGTGACTGTCACTTGGACAGCTAAATAAGCATATAGAGAGTAGAGACATAGGAAAACACAAAATATCAACCCTTAATGTAAAGTGAATGTTCATTTTTCCCACGTACCATAAATGTCCATGTGCAAGTTGTAAATATGTTTTTTGTTTGTGCTACTCAAGGTAAAACTCTACATGCCTGTCTAACTTATTCAGTGCTTTCCTTATGGGCAACAGATGGGTGTCAATAACTTGAAAATACTACGATAGGATTAATATGTGTCTGAGAACACTTCCTCAATTGTTGACATTAATCAATCAGATTATCATTATGTTCTTTTCTTTTTTTTTCACAAATAAAAATCGAAAGGTGCATAGCCAGTTCATAGTTTAGTTACCCATGTAACTGCATTCTTCCTACAGGGGCATAACTACTAATCATGGGGCCCATAGGAAAACTTTGGGATGCACCAGCTAACTCTCTCTGTAGTAGCTGGCAGTGTCAACTGTGACAATAGTTAACATGAAGTATGTATTAAGGGCAGGTGGCAGGAGAGCTGTCAGTACAGCCAGTACACTACAAGGAAGCAGTGTTGGGGTAAAAGCTATAGTAGCATAAAAATTAAAACCCATAATGATATTTGATAACATCAAATCATTCTTCAACCCTAATACAAACTTTTTTAAACTCTAGCGTCATTAAACATTTTTGAAGAACAACAAACCTCAGTCCTCCTGTAAGGTTTTAACAGAACGGAAACTCTGGGATTTGTGACTGCATTAGGCATAAAGGGTTAACTTCAGTCTGTAGAAGAAGTCTAGAATAAATCTACACTGCTAAGAAAGATAAGCAAATGCTTTCCATTGCACAGAGGGGGATCTGTGATTAGAGGATCCTGAGGTCTGACTTCAGTCCTTCTATACTGGAAACCTCGCAGTTTAGTTTTCCCATCAGCCACCCTAATGGGGCCCCCTCCTACACCAGGCCCCATAGCAGGGCTATTTTTATGCCACTGTCTTCCCACAATCCAAAAACATTGCTAACTTAATTTGCTTCCCCCCAAACTGATCCTAGTGTATCAGCATTAGCCTGTGAAGGATGCATTAGAATGTAAGCTCCTTTAAAGTTTGAGACTGATGTGAATGGTTCTATGTTCTCTGTAAAGTGTTGCAAAATCAGTGTCAGTGTCAAAGTAAATAAACATTTGGGGTGGATTCACTCCAGCAGCTGCGCTATAACGCACAGTCGATGTTGTGTGTTGGCGGTCACAATGCCGATGTGCCAATCCCGGCACGTCACATTGTTTACCTTTTTTCTTTGTTAAAACTTTATTAAAATGTCACAAGTGACATTTCATTGAGTTCTATGGGGACAGTACGGTGCGCTTGTACACTTGTACTGCATTGCAGTCCGCTGCGCTGACAAAAAGTACTGATGTATGCACGCACACCAGCGCAAACACACTTGGTGTGAATCAAGTTTAAAGTGTACCTGTACTTAGTGAAAAAATATGAATTGTTGGTATAGGTTAATAAATTCCAGGCTGTCATTAGCAGTCATGCACATCTTTTTACATCTAACTGCCTGTAATCCCTGCAAGTGTTGAAAGCTGTTTCACTTTTGCTCTTTTCACACCACCACTGCAGAGGGTAATATTGCAACTTGGGTTTTTCTCTACCAATCTCAGTGCCTGTTACTACTGTTGAGTGATTTCCCATGATTTCTGTTGCTTGATACATATGTATTCTTCAGAAACTCCTGGTGACTGCATGCTAGATGTGTGAGTGTAAGGAAGATCTTCCTTACACCTGTGCATATAGCAGCAGTCTACGGTAGGATGTTTTTTGGATGTACTACTCAATACAGCCTGAAAATATATCTTAGATTTGGAAATATGTGTATAAATGTATATATATATATACATATATATATATATATAGTAGTAAACATATTCCATTCTTACAAATTTCCATTGTTTTGGTATGACACATAACGGCCTGCAGCCCACACACTTTAAGAAAGGAGGATAATTCCTAGAACACATGCTATTAGGAGTGCTCACATTCCTTATCACGTGCAGACACATATTTCAAAGGTCTCTCTGATTACAGTTATGTCATACAAAATAACTTCATAATATTATGTTTGTATACAACAATGACACAAAGATGCAGCAGTCTGTGTACCAGCACTAAGCGACAGGTTTGCAGTGCTCAGTCTTTGCGTCGCCCAAGGGCAAAAAGTAAACACAGAAAAACCCGTTGGGCATCATTTCAGAAATATCTTCCTTAAATACTACTTTTGGTGTAAATAATGAATTATAGGACTCTGTGGCAGTTGACTGTCCTACTGGTTTCTCTGGCTGCATACTCCAGACTAGAATGGTTGCCTCGAGAAAACATCTCTATAAAGAATGCAGAGCTTCAAAAGTCTAACATAAATCAAAGTGTCAGATAAGAGAATCCAAAAATAAATGGTTGGGAGAAAAGTAAACATACCTATGCAAACTAAAGCTGGCATTATGTGGTATTTTTTTGCTACCAGCGCAAACAGCTAATGAAACCCGAGCAGCATAAAAAATCAACAAATTAGCAGCCATCAGTGTTTGTGCACAACAACAACAAAAAACTCCTGCATTGGCCATAAATATTTTCCAGAATGACAGAGAA